AGAAACTGAGAGGAGAGGCTGTCCCGGAGGGGGCTTCTCGAGGGGATTGATCCAAGTTGCTGCTCAGCTACTGTGTGGTTTCAAGAGGAGGCTCACCCTCTCTGGGCTGCTGGGAAGAAGCAGGGTTAAACATGGGCCCTCGCTGCCCTCCTGGGGTGTGGAGCCCTGGGAGACACGTTCGTGGGTGATGACAGCCATGGAGCCTAACAGGCTGGGACGTGGAGTCCCAAAGAACTGCTGAGGAGCAGGGGGGTTCTGGGGGGGAGGTGACAGGTGCCCGAGGGAGTGTGCTGCAGACTCGCCCAGGGATCAAACAGAGAAGACCAGCATGGGAGCTTTGCAGCAAGAGGGTCTAGGTGAGACATCAGGAGGAACTGTCTGGGTGGTTGGACTCTGAAGCAGATGGACGAGAAGCTGGCATGGAAGGCAGGAAGCATCCTTAAGAAGACGAGGAGACGCTCTGGTTGAAGGCAGAGGGAGGGAGGAGACGACCAGATGACCCCCCTCTCCTTGAAGGATCCAGAGGGCCCTCTCTGGGTTGCCGTGGCAACCAGAGGCCTGTCACCCTGTGGACAGAGGGGGCGGGGGAGGGAGCAGGTCTGGGCAGGGGCCTCAGACCTTGAGGTCAGGAAAGCAGGGTGTGAATGGGAAGGAGGGGGGTATCCCTTGGGAGAGGAAGGCAGTCCCCAGAGCAGGGGCTAGCGGTCCCCTCAGGCCATCCCCCAGCCCCGGCCCCACATGACACTCTGTGTTTTTCCAGTTGCCGGTGGTGACGTGGCCACCGGTCCCAGCTGGGCGAAGAACAGTCTGTGATTTCACCCTGGGCTGGTTCATTACCTGACTTCTCCATGGCAACCGGCCTGTGACATCACGGGGCCAAAGTCCTCAGGGGGAGCAGGCAGCTTTGGCAGAGGCGCCTGCACCCCCAGCTGAGGTTGGGGGCAGGCTGGGGAGGGGATGGGAGCCAGGAGTCCTCCAAGCTCACCACCACCTCGACGAATGACTTTGTTCGAGTCCCATCTCCTCGGGCTTTGACATCCCCACCACTTCTGTGGCACTCAGGTCCCCTCCCTGTCACCTCACTCCCTGGCCCGTGGCTGGAGGGTTTTACAACAGCTTCAGGGAATAGCCAGGGGCCCCAGAAACATTCCAGCGCCTCTCAGAGTTCCCAGGGGCAGCCTGTAACCAGCGCCACCCTGAATGGGCCCTGACTTGTTCACCACCTGCAGAATTTCCAGAACCTCAGGATGGGTGACTTTCAAGCTTTTTTGGCTGGTCTCGAACTCCTGGGCTCAAGTGATCCTCCTGCCTCTGCCTCCCAAAGTGCTGGGATTACAGGAGTGAGCCACAGTGCCCACCCTTTCTGTGTAATTCAAACAGAAACTTGATCAAACGTTACTTAACCCAACTCTGCAGTGGGCTTTGATGTTTTTCCATTCTACTCAATTCTGTTTCTTTCTTTCTTTCTTTTCCTTCTTTTCTTGAGTCTCGGAGTCTCACTCTGTCGATCAGGCTGGGGTGCAGCATTATGGTCACAGCTCACCACAGCCTGAAACTCCTGGACTCATGTGATCCCTGCCAACCCTGCCCTGTGGTGTCCCACTGGTTATGCAGACATCTGACTGGGGCTGCTCCTTGGAAGGCATCCCAAGTTGTTGCGAGTGACTCCCCGGGTGCCCATCATGTAACATGCTGCAGAAATAGCTAGTTGGAGTCAGGGGTGGTTGATGGTTGGGGTGGCGAAGCCTGTTCCGGCCACCTTGGAGCGGGAGTGGCTTGCTGCAAAATACAGGGTCCCCAGTGCCTCTGTGTTCTCAGTCTGGGATCCTACTGGACGGTTCCTGAAGAACCAGAACAGTCTCCCTCAACTGTCCACTTCTCAGATGAGGAAATGGAGGCTCGGAGAGCAGTCACTTGCTCAGGGCCCCACTGATAGGAAAGGGCAGGGCTGGGACTTGAGCCGGATGGTCTAGCTATGGACCCTCACCCAGCGGTCTCCGAACCATTCCTCAGACGCGGGCCCTGAAATGAGGAACTAGGTGTAACTGATATGAAAGGAATCTTCCAGAAGAAGCCAGTAAGGACCAGCGTGAACAGACAGAGGAGGCTGGCTAAGCAAAGGTGTGGTCTCAGGCAGGGTCTTCAGCCTGAGCACCAGTGAAGTTACACTGTTTTTAATTGGAGTCTCACTCCGTCGCCCAGGCCGGAGTGCGGTGGCACGCTCATGGTCACCCCAGCGTTGGCCACCCCAGTGTCAACCTGCTGGGCTCTGGCAATCCTTACACCTCAGCCTTCCAAGTAGCCAGAACTACAGGTGTGTGCTACCATGCCCGGCTAATTTTTTATTTATTGTAGAGATGAAGTCTTGCCAAGTTGCCCAGGCTGGTCTCGAACCCAAAGTGCTGGGATTACAGGTTGAGCCACCGAGTCTGACCTTTTTTTTTTTTTAATTGAGCTCTCACTCTGTGGGAGTGCAGTGGTACGATCATGGCTCACCACAGCCTCGAACTCCTGGACTCAGGTGATCCTTCCACCTCAGCCTCCTGAATCGCTGGGACTACAGGCGTGCACCACCATGCCTGGCTGATTTTTAAAATTTTATTTGTAGAGATGAGGTCTTGCTATGTTGCCCAGGCTGGTCTTGAACTCCTGGACTCAGGCAATCCTTCTGCCTTGCCTCCCAAAGTGCTGGGATTACAGTCATGAGCCACCATGCCCAGCCTGCAATGGTGAACTTTCTGATCCCAGACAGAGGAGCTGGGGTCAACCACACAGGCTCGGGCCACTCCGGGTAGGGCCAACAAATTCTCAGACATTTTCAGCTTCAGCAAAGGAGGGCAGCCCTTGTGGAAAGAGCCACAGGTACCGCCTGTCAAAAGCAAAGCACAGGGTGGGAGGCAGAGGGGAGAGAAAAATAGGAGAAAGGCAGCCAAAGGAAACAGGTGGCTCACCGATGCTGTCCCCAACCCCGGTGACACAGCCTGCCCTAGAGTGGAAAACCCCATACTTACTGCTACTGGTAGACGATGGTGCCTAGGAGCTGAGGCAGTCAGGGAGAGGGGATGGTGGCTCGCGGGGGCAGCCGTGGGGAGCGTGGCGGTGGGTGGTTCTGGAATAGATGCAAGAGAGGGCCAGTAGGACCTGCTGGTTGATTGGATGGCACTGGGGAAGGATGGCAGAAGGCGGGACCCTGGGAAGCTCCCAGAGTAGCAACTGGTACAACGAGAGGACAGCTGCATCATTTTCTAAAATTGGGACTTGGCTGGACATGGTGGCTCATGCCTATAATCCCAGCACTTTGGGAGGCAGAGGCAGGAGGATCACTTGAGCCAAGGAGCTCAAGACCAGCCTGGGCAACATAGCGAGACCTCGTCTCCACACACACACACACACACACACAAAATCAAAAAATTTTCCAGGTGTGGTGGTGCATGCCTATAGTTCTTGTTACTCAGGAGGCTGAGGTGGAAGGATTGCCTGAGACCAGGAGGCTGAAGCTGTGGTGAGCTGTAGTGGTGCCACTGCACTCCAGCCTGGGTGACAGAATGAGACTCTGACTCAAAAAAAAAAAAAAAATGGGGGCAGAGGGGCAGGTGGATGGGGCTTGGGAGTTCTGTTGAGCCCGGGTGTGCCTGAGGTAACCCCTGGGCATCCACATAGAGAGCTAGGCATTCAGTCGGAAGCTCAGTAAGGACTCGGGCTGGAGGCATGCATGTGCACGTGGCGTCAGGAACACGCCGTGAGGCCTCCGAGGGGAGCATGGAGGAGGTCAGGATTCAGGTGTGGTCCAGGCTGGCAGGCAGGATTGAGCCCGCAGGAACCAGGCAGGTCCCTAGCGGGGCAAGCAAGAGGGCTGGGGAGAGGAGTGCGGCTCAAGAGGGCAGGCCCTGGGCAGGTTTCGGGCCACTGAAGGATCTGGGCAGAAGAGGCTGAGACACCCCCAGGACACTCGGCTGCATGGAAGTTTCTGGCAGCTTGGCGAGGGCTATCTCAGGAACGCCTGCTGGGAGCGGGTGGAGGAGATGAGAAGGTCTGGCATGAAGAGGGTACAGGAGGGGGCAAGTTGCTGGAGGGGGTGGTGGTCAGGGACAGTGTTTAAAAGGCAGGAGGTCGTGGGGCGGCTTGGGTGCTGCTGGCCCCCCAGGGGTGCTGGGACCTGGGGAGGCGAGAGACAAGATGCAGGGGAAGGTTGCCAGGCAGGAGAGAGGGCGTAGGGGAAGGTCTCTGGGCAGAGAGAGGATGCAGGGCTTGCAACACTGCTGGGGTGGTTCCTGGCTGATGATGTGGACAGGGAGCGCTGGAGATGCAGGAGGGAGAAGGGAGCCCCTGGCTGGGTCAGGTGGGGATCCTGCCCCTGGGTGGACGAGCAGGCAGGTCTGGGATGAAGCAGGGACAGCTCTTCCTTGTCCAGGAGGGAAAGGAGATGGCGGGCGCAGGTGCAGGCAGGGGATGCCTTCCCAGGGCTCCTGGACCCAGGAGGGTGGGGGGAGCCAGCAGCACGGTGTGAGAATGTGGGGGTCATTGTTGGGGGTCTGAGAAGGAAAGGGGTGACGTCATCAACCTGGCAGGAAGCAAACGGAGAGGAATCGGAGAAACAGGGACAGATCCCCGCGCAGTACCCTGCGTGGGGCTGATGGTCTCCAACTTTGCACGAGGTCCATGGCTTTTTCTTCAGCACCGGTCGGCTCCTTGGGGGCAGGCACAGAGCAGGAGGGTTCAACTGAGACCGGGGCGAGGGGCCAGGGTGTCTCTGAGGGCGCACGCAGAGGGCACGTGGGCCAGGAGGGAGGTGGGTCTGAGGAGCTAGTGGGAAGGTCGGAGGCTGTGGGCTGGGGGCTCTGGGAGGTCAAAATGCGGGAGTGTGGGGCTGGAACTGGTGCAAATGGAGTGAAAAGAGGGCTCAGCAATTCCCACTGAGGGGACCAGGCCGGGGAGACCTGGCAGCCCTTCCCCTGCTGGGTCTGTTTCCTATAAGGATGGGTAACAGAGCTCACACGCAGTGCAGGCAGGGGAGGGCTGGGCTGTCCTAAGCCCCGCCTCTGTCCTTCCAGACCTGTTCACAAGTGCCCACAAGGACTGCCCCGTACCCCGGAGCACAGTCCCCCTGAGCCCGGACCTGCCCTGCAGCCACTCACCCACTGCTCCAGACCATGTCACTGGCAAGGTAAGCGGCCCTCCTCGTCCCTGCTCCTGCCGGTGCCCTGCTTCCTGGCTGTCCCCTGCAGCTCCCTACAGGGAGCAGAGACCATTCCCATCTTCTTCCTTCCCTGCGAAAGCCAGCTTCTCCCTGCAGGAGTAGGTCCCTAAGGCTTGGTATCCAGCAGGATGAAGGGCTGGATTGGGTCTAGCATCTGGGGTCTGGATCAGGCTTGTTTAGAAAAGACTGTCTCTTAAAAAAGGGTCGGGCTCTGTAGCTCAGCCTGTAATCCCAGCGCAGCGCTCTGGGAGGCCGAGGTGAGTGGATTGCCTGAGCCCGCGCGTTTGAAACCCGCCCAGGCAACTTGGCGAGACCTCATCTCTACAATAAGTCAAAATTTAGCTAGGCGTGGCAGTGCGCGCCTGTAATTCCGGTTACTTGGAAGGCTGAGGCGGAAAGATCGCCGGAGCCCAGCGGGTCGAGGCTGCGGTGGCCGGGAGCGTGCCACTGCACTCCAGTCTGGGCGACAGAGTGAGACTCCAACTCTAAAAGAAGAAGAAGGAGAAGAGAAAAAAGAAAAGAACATCTGACCAGGTGCTGTGCCTCACACCTGTAATCCCAGCACTTTGGGAGGCCAAGGTGGGGGAATTGCTTGAACCCAGGAGTTCGAGACCAGCCTGGACAACATAGTGAGGTCTTGTCTCTACAAAAAATAAGAAAAATAGCCAGGTGTGATGGCTCGTGCCTATAGTCCCAGCTACTCGGGAGACTGAGGCAAGAGGATGGCTTGAGCCTAGGAGTACGAGGCTATGGTGAGTTGTGATGGTGCCACTGCACTCCGGCCTGGATGACAGAGTGAAACTCTGTCTCAAAAAAAGAAAAGAAAAGAAAAGAAAAGAGAGCTGGACACAGTGGCTCACGCCTGTAATTCCGGCACTTTGGGAAGCAGAGGCGAGAGGATTGCCTGAGCCCAGGAATTTGAGAGCCCCCTGGGCAACTTGGCCAGACCTACAATAAATCAAACAATTAGCCGGGCATGGTGGCACTTGCCTGTGGTTCCAGCTACTAGGAAGCTACCTGAGCCCAGCAGATCGAGGCTGCGGTGGCTGTGAGCATGCCACAGTATTCCAGCCTGGGCAACAGAGACTCCAACTCAAAAAGAAAAAGACCATCCATCTTGAAGGTCTATCCCGCCCTAATTAGTTCAGCCTTACAGACAGGTTGCCAGCCCATTCCCCAGCAGCCTCAAGAAGAAAAGAGATGGAATTCTCATCCAGCTGGATGGGAAGATGGTGCTGGGGCCCCATGCCAGGCACATAACTTCTGCCCTGGCCCCAGGACTGTGGCTCGAACCTACCCATGCGATAATTACCTCCCTCCACCCCCATCCTATCTCACATGCCAAGCACTGTGCCCACCACTTTGCCCGTGTAATGTCATTTATGCTTCACCACAACCTTGAGGTCAGGGGCACTGTCACCGTTTTACAGAGGAAGGAACCGTGTTCTGAGCAGCTGAGGAGCGTCTGAGGACACCCGTCTAGGAACCAGCAAAGCAGACATCCCAACCCAAGCATGACCCAAAAGCAGCACCTTTGCTGCCTCTCTTCATGGCACCCTGTCGCCCCCCCGTTCTTTCTCTGCATGCTGAGGACACCAGACGTGACCCAGAGAGGACAGACCCTGCCCTCACGGAGCTGCGAAGGCTGACCCCCACCCCCACCAGGGCCCCAGATCGGCCATCTGCCGGCTCCATGTGCCGGGCCCGGCCTGATCCTCTCTCCTCTTGTTCTAGGACAAACAGATGGATTTCTGTTGGGATCCTTGGCAGGTCAGTGCACTTGCCTGTCCCCAGTCCAACCCCGTCTGACTCCGCAGCCCTTTCCTCCGCTGGGCCCAGCCCAGACGCACAGCCCTGCCAGCCTTGGGGATGGATCTGAGGAAGCAGGGGTGGGGGCAGTCTGGGGGAATCGGTAGGACCTCCCTGGCAGTGCCTGCTCTGTCCCCACCCGCTGCTCACGGGACCGGGGTGGGCTGGGAGGTGGGGGACGGTGGTGCCGGGGGCTGCCGCCTGGCAGTCAGCCCGTCCTCCTCACCCTTCCTGCCTCCTCCCCCAGAGGTGCTTCCAGACCACCAACGGCTACCTGTCCCACTCCAGATCCTGCTCCAGCAGCTACAACGTGGCAGCCCTGGCCACCTCGTCCCTTGTGGGTAGGTTCCAGCAGTCCCTCTCCTGCCCCTGAGGCTTGCACGTCGCCCCTCTGACTCTGGCTGCAGGTGGGACGAAGCTCAGTCTCACCTGGAAGGACAGCAGCCCTGTTGGAGTCAACATTTTCTCTTCTTTTCTTTTCTTTTTCTTTCCTTGAGTCAGTCTCACTCTGTCGCCCACACTGGAGTGCAGTGGCACGCTGCTCACGGCCACCGCAGCCTCAAACTGCTGTGCTCAGGTGATCCTTCTGCCTCAGCCTTCCAAGGAGCTGGGACCATAGGTGTGTGCCACCATGCCCAGCTAATTTTTTGATTTATTGTAGAGCTGAGGTCTTGCCATGTTGCCCAGGCTGGTCTGGGCTCAGGCAATCCTCTCACCTCCGCCTCCCAACATGCTGGGGTGACAGGCGTGAGCCACTGCGCCCAGCTGAGTCAACATTTTCTGCATGCCAGCTGCCACGCTGGACTCTGCAGGGTGCCGTGAGGACTGGTGACTTAGGGCTCCTGCTCCCATGGATCAGGTTGTTGGAGTCTCCAGAAGCCTTGAAGGGGAGACCCAGGTTTTTTAGGTGTCTGTCTGGCATGGTCTCTCTGTCTCTCTGCCAGTCGCATCACCTGAGGCGGGGGGGTCCCTAGAAGCAGACTCTGAGACGGGGTGGAGGACAGAGCGGGAGGGGCTGGGGAAGGTCCTCGGGGAAGCTGTGGTCGCGGGACAGGGAACTCCAGAGCACGAGTGGCGCCCCAGAGCTGACAGCATGTTGAGGTGAGGAGGCGGGACTCTACACTCCCCAGCGGCGGGTCGCCGGCTGCCCCCGGGGGG